TATACTGTATATTATAGTGTCTTACAAGAATGGTTTAACTACAAATAGTTAATTTTTGGTGTAGTTAGAAGGCTTCTACTATAGACTTAAATCGCTTTAGTCCGGCACCCTCGAGACTTTACCAGAGCCGAACCAGAAAATTCACCAAACCACAGAAGGTCAACATTGTTTAGCAGCATTACCAACACTTCCACTGCTTACTTGGATTTTATAACATTTAGAGGTAAACTAGAGCTAAACAACAACACCGAACATTGAAAGCCACAACTAGTCACTGTAAACAAACTGTGGGACTTGGGCTCAATTATTGTCAGATGACTATATCATGAACAATAAACAGAAACTGCAGCCATAGACATCATTTTAAAGCATACATCAATCTTTTTGAAAAAAAATGGAGTATAATATATAAAAATAAAAACTCAGAAATAAAACCAACCTATTTTGGCCCAGCACAGCAATGATGGAAACAATTCAAGAGATAAGCATAAATCATAAGATCTATCAAAGAGGACTTTGCCTTGGGCTGGGGCAGGGGAGAGAAGAGATTTAAAATTTAATTATGATAAATATAGTTGAGTTTAAGAACACTGAGAAGAAACAGTAAATATATTTATGTATGAGACTAGCATTGATAGTTTTATTTTAATCTAATCAGAAAATATTCCTTTTGTTAGAAAACTTGCAGAGTAGAAACTGAACCTAAAGATAATAAAGGCAGTAGCATTTTAAACATGTTAAAAAGTCAGGAAAAAAGTCAACAGCATTTTCTTTGTATTTCCTGTGCCACAGGAGATTTTCAGCTACTTTAAAGAAATACAGCAATAGATAACAGATAGTAACTAGAGGTACTTAAATTTGTTTCTGAAAAGGAAGGCGAATCCGATAGAAAATGAGAGCTTGTTGCAACACTGAACTGCCACAGAGGAATAAGACAAAGGATCATATATTGGCCCAACTAATGCACAAAAGGGAGAAAAGATTTTAAATAGCAGAATCTTCCCTCCCTTTGCATATAGAAATCACCAGATAGCATAAAGGGACAACTCTATATCACCTGTTCCTATCACTTTCATGTCCCACTGTATGCATTCAATAGATATGTTTGAGGGGCATGCTTGTAAATGAAGCCCCAAAACAGTAAGTAGTCCCTCATGATCAAGACAAAAAAAGATGGCACAATACACTTCTGCCCTCCTCCCAACCCTGTGCCCCAAAATACTAATCTTTGCTTCATGAAATACAATGTGACTTTTGGGGACCAGTTTTATTTAGAGTGACACTCCACACAGTTTACTTAGTGAATGTATTGTCTAGTCGGTTTCAAAACTTTGGCTGATAGACAAGCAATTCTCCATCAATTAAGCACATCTACCTACTGGAGAATTTATGTTGGTGTAAGCAATGTTCTTATAAGGGGAGGTAACCTGCGCCTTTGTATTACTCGTGTATTTGAAAAGACTTATTTCTACATTGTCAGTAAAATTTCTCCCCCCAAACAACAAGCTGTATCCCGACGTATGAGCAACAGGTAGTAAATGGCGATCGGATAACTAATGAACACCAGGTGCTTTCTTCTCAGGCAGACACCAGTCTCTTTGAATCTGTAGCAATGTTTATCTGCTCCTCTCTTCCAACAAAGAGAAAAGTGTTCTCAGAGAAGCGAGCAATTTGCTTCCGTAGCACTGCTAATTCTTTAAGCGAGAGATATTTTGTATCGCTTCGAGCAGAAAATAAAAGATCCCTCCCGCAATAAAACCCAAAGAACAAAACCCCAACCCAACCCACCCTTTAAACCAGGCTCTCGGTAGGTTCGATCTAATCTCACGGTCTCCAGGCCCCACCCGTACGAGTAACCAACTTAAGAGACCAGGCACAGGAGTCCCCACACACGCACTGAGCAGACCCAAGTTC